GAATCTATATACTTAGTAGTCTGATTTGATTTCAACTTTAATATTAAAATACTAGAGGCCCATTGCACAAAATTTGTGCATGGGAGGAGTGTTGTTCCCTTAGTCCAGCCTGCACCCTCTGCAATCCTGGACCACTTGGGGGATATCCAACTTCCAGCTTAGGCTCGATCCTAGATATTGGGCCTAAACCAGCAGTCAGACATCCCTCTCATAATCCTGGACTGCTGGCTTCTATTTGTTCACTTGCCTGCCTTCCTGGTCACTCCTAATGCCCCACCCCCTGCCAACATGATTACCCCTCACTGCCTTTGTGTGCTGGCCTGTTCACCCCTAACTACCTCCCCCTACCAACCTGGTTGCTCCTAACTGCCCCTCACTGCTGGCCAGGTTGCCCACAACTGGCCCCCTCTTCTGGCTTGGTCACCCCTAACTGCCCCCCTGCCAGCCTAGTTGCCCCCAACTGCCTCGCCTTCTGGCCTAGTCACCCTTCACTGCCCCCTGCCAGCCTAAATGCTCTAAACTGACCCCCCTACCATCCTGGTTACCCCCAGCTGCATCCCCTTGCCATCTTGGTTACCCCCAGCTGCACCCCCCTGCCAGCCTGGTCACTTCATACAACTGCTTGTTCAGTCGTTTTGTTGTCCCTCACTAACCCCTGGTCGCCCCACACAGACTGCTGTCCATTTGTTTGATCATCCTTCACTAACTCCCTGCTAGCCTGGTCATCCCATGCAGCCTGCTGTTCAGTCATTTGGTTGCCCCTCACTAATCCTGCTGCTGGCCTGGTCATAGGCAGCCTTCTTATGAGGGTTAATTTGCATATTACCTCAATTATATAAGATGAGATCCATTTTTACAAGGAATTTAAAATGTTTTTCTTCAACTCATCTATAGATCTAAGCTTCATAACAATAAACAATGTACAAAAATTTACACCTACAATAAACCATTCAGTGATCTAGATACTTTCATATACACCAAATTATAGCTGAAAGCATCAAAGTGCAATGAACTCTGGAACTATTAGGAATTTGTAATTTGAAAAGTTTCACTCAATCCCTACTCCCAAATGCTTTTAATTAGAACAGACTTTAATTAAGTACTCCCATGCACAAAGTATAGCTTGGCCTTTCTGCCATATTAGCCTCCCATACAAAAGAAAACAATCATTGTGTTGAAGGAAAATATTTTCTCTAAAACCGAACTATAAAAATTCTGGTTCTGGTTTCAAGTTGTTTAGTTGAGACTCTGCACACTGAAAGGAAGCCCCTGTCTCCAGAAGGACCATGAGAAACAGAACTAGCAAGGCAGTGACACTGATGGTCCTAGATGGAAAAAGAGCCAGTCCCCCATCTCTGCAAGTCGGAGACAGAATCTCTTCCAGTGAGAGCCCAATTGCTTATGGGATAAAAGTGATACAGTAGAATGGACATGAAATTTGGATTCACATAAATAGCAAATCACTTCACTTCCATTTGCTAGTCCTGCTAAAATGCTCAAAATATTTAACCCTTTTGAGCCTTCATAGCTATTTATAAAAGACACTAAGGGATACCTATTTTGTTCAGTTTAGATTCGATATTTATAAAGTGCCCTGAACACAGTAGGCACTCAGAAATTAGGAGCTATCTGGATAATAATCATCATTGTCTTTATTGCCAATTTACTTGATCTTAAAAAAAGTTATCATCCAATTGAGATATCAATGAATAATTGGTAAACCTGAGTCAGCATCAGGAACAAATAGGAAAAAGTATTTTTCTGTGGTCAATGCATGCAGAAATTATATATATATATATATATATATATATATATATATATATATATATATAATAGTGCGTAGGTATGGGATTGTCTAGTCAGAAAGTAAGTTTAATGCACAAAGAACAGCCCTTAAAACAAAGCATATGAATAAGTCCTGAGTTTCAAGATGTGAACAACACTAAAGTCTTAGCCATGGAAGCACTCCTGGGATTCTAAAGAACTCCACACAGTAGCTTGTTTTTCCTAGGCTTCTCTGTGGCCTTACAATTTTTCTTGCTGTTTAAATAGTCAAGGAAGGCAAAAGTATTGAAAACATTATTATATAATGTAAAATCATGGTGCAGTTTGAATCATGGCCTGTATATCCTTCCATTTAACTTTCCATTTAATTTTTACTCAGGTGGTTTGTTATCCAAAGACTGAGATAGTTTCCGTAACTGAGAGGCCTGTTTTTAGCTCTGTGGGTACAGCCATATGTGGTTATTTGCTGAAGGCTGCAGGACCAATACTATAACTTATCTGGAATAATATAAATTTAGTTATAACTTTTTTCTTAAATATTTTGAATTATGCATAAGTATGTTTCAATAAAGATGACAAAATTATAAAGTAGAATTGCTTTGAAAGTTAGGTTCTGTAGACAAAGGAAGAGAGAATCACTCTTGTAGGGTCTGTCCATGCCTCATCTATTTCTGCTTCCAGTTAAGTGTAAGGCAGATAGTCTCTGATGTCTAAGTATTATTTAATCATATAAATGCCTTAATTGTAGCAGTTGGGATTTGTTTTATAACTGGAATCTTCAAATGTTTGATGCATTAGTTCATCTGTTAAGAACACGCCTTAGTCAAAAAATGTAAAGAGAGCCTTATTAAAAGTAGAATTATTATAAATCAGATACTGAACACACACATATAATTTATATAATAGCTATAAATGTATTTCATATAAGATGTATGATAAATATGCTTACACATTAATTATTAGTTATATTTTAAAATAAATTTAGTTTTATTTAAGACAGATTCAGATAGACTTTAAAATTTCTAGTATGCTACAGATAATTATTTTATTACATAAGCATATTAATGAATATATTTTCCAAAAAATTAACATTTAATACTGCGATAAAACTTTAAAAAATTATTTATTAATTGAATGATCATAGAGAGAGGAAGGGAGAGAGAGAAACATTGATCAGTTGCCTCCTGCAGGCTCCGCAATCAGGGATTGGACCTGAAACCTTGGGTATGTGCCCTGACTGGGAATCAAAGCCACCACCTCTTAGTATACATAACTGCACTCCAACCAACTGAGCCACACCAGCAAGGGCTGCAGTAAATTTTTGAAGAAAGAATGCTAAAGCATTCTCATTATTATTCTAATGGGAAAAAAGATATGGCTGCTTATTTCATGTGAAATCTCTTGTAGTAGAGACAAGTGCAATGGAGTTAATTCTTGGAGTGCTTGCATTAGAGAATGAATAGGAGAATTCTATTTAGATAATTTTGATAGAAAGGAGAAGAAAAATAAGTGGGGAAGGAGGAGGCTTCTAAGAAGAAAAGCAGGCCTGAATATTCCTTTGCAATACAGAGGTTGGTGTGCCATACACTATGAAGGAGAGTCACTGAGTAAGAGGAGAGTGGTAATGGGTAAGATTAGAGAGGGAGATTAATACCAAATTATGTAACATCTTAGATGGTTATTATGGCTAGGGAATCTTTTATATTTTATTATTTTTTTAAATGTATCCTTATTGTTGAAAGTATTACAGATATCTTCTTTTTTTTCCTCTTGACCCCTTCACCCTGCACCTGCCTCTTGCCTCCCCTGGCCTTCACCACACTATTGTCTGTGTCCCTGGGTTATGCATATATACATACAAATTCTTTAGTTGATCTCCCACCCCTGCCTTCCCTCTTAGTTTAATCAGTCTGTTCCATACTTCTAGGTCTCTGGTTAATGAATTATTTTTATATACCCACTCTTCGTTATTAGATTTGTTCTACCTAATATACTATAAACATCACAGGCAATTATAAAATTATTTTTCAAGGCTTCTTTTTTTTTCTTTCTTTCATGTACAAAAATTTAAAAAACCTATCTTGAGCACTGAAATGTTAATTTTGAGCAAATTACTTGTTCAAAGGTTTTGTGAAGAGCCTCACAAATAGAATTTGAATTTTGGGCAAGTTGAGGATGTCTCTTTCCTCTTTCTCTGATCCTAGGAAACATTGTCTATTAAAAAAACAACAACACTAAGAATGAGAATGATATTCTTAACATAATTGAATATACAAGAGAAATAATGAGACTATTGAAAAGAGGAAGAAGTACAGATCAATTAATTAATGACTAAGAATTAGACAATTTTGGTATAAATATCAGCAGTCTACTTCTTTAGTTACTTCTACAATAGATTTTAAAACTTGAAATGTAGGCATATTCTATCTGTCTGGAGTCACAGATATATTTAAAGTTTAGAACACACCACAAGTGGACAGTTTGGAGGGTGTGACATCTGAAAAATAGGCTTATGTTTAGTTTTGTTTTCTCTCTGGATTTTTGATTTCTTATCTCATTCATTCAAATGCATTTATGAATATGTCCAATATTTTATTTCCTTTTTTCACATAACTCTGTTACCCAATTGGTGAAAGTTAAGCAATACATTTTCATCTTAACATTTAATTGTTCAGTTACTTTCCTGTCAAGGGTGAAAGGTAATAGTTTATTGATAGTGATGAAATTACATAGGTGGCTTTCATATAAATAGCAACAAATATAGAAAATAGTTACTTTACATGGTATATTTAACAACAGTGCTAAGGAGAAAGACTGGAACTTGATCTTTGTGATGAAGATACACCTGACTGCATCAGGAGAAAATTTAGTTCTGCAAGCCTGAAGAAAATAATTGTCATTCAACAGAAGCAATTAGCTTTGCATATCAATAAAACACACACAACACATACTCTTATCTATTTTTTGAGTGCTCTGGAACTGATAACAAAATAGCAAATATATATTTATGAGAACTAGAAATGCTGTGTTCATTTCAATCACATTAACTCAATGTAATTATGAAGTTAACTTTGAGACTATGTGAAAAATGTTACTTCCTAATCAAATGAAGAGAGACTAAAATCCACAAATTTGATATCAGGCTATGTAGTTTTTATATTCACATTTGTTGCCAAAATGTCATCTCATTAATTATTTTTATTGTTTGCTTTTAGATGGAAGACTGTATTTGAAAACTACTGTCATGTACTGAATCTTTCCTGTTGAAGAAATCCATGTTATAGTAAAGAACTTTGCAGTCAGACATTCATCGTTGAAAAGTTCGGAAAAAAATAAAAGTCCTTTTAAGGGAACTGCCTCAATTTTGTGTATTAATGTTCTTTAAAAGTTTAAGTATTCTACAAAAAAATTCCTCCACTGATTTTCACCTATGTTATACCAGAGACCTGAGAATGTTTGTAAATGTACAAGTATCAAACTTCTTACAATGAGTATCTGCAACTTTGCTGCTGGACACTTGTATACAGAGCTAAAGGCAGGTCTGTGTAAGACCTAGCTTTGTTTTTTTAATGGAATGAACCATTTTCTTCTTCTGAATATTCTGTATCTGAGCACATCAAGAGACTCCTGTAGCAGTGGTCACCCAGACTTACAGAATTATGTCCTCCAGAAACCAGCAAGAACACTTGGAAATGAACTTATAGGAGGCATAGAGGATTCCTTAAAAGTCAATACAATAAAGAGTAATATTCTGTTACATTCTATTTTAAACTCTCTAATTGTGGAGTTTCTCCTGAAGATGTTTTTTCACATACTTTCCAAAAGGCCAATAAGTGGATATTGACAACAACCCAGTGAAATAACATTTTGAGTATCTGGAAAGAAGTATTGAATATAAGCCAAAAGGTTTCACTGAAGGTCTTTTTTTCTTTTAAAGAAAGGAAACACAAATGTAACATGTTTTCATTCCTGACTGGTAGTGGTATATAGAATTGAAAATAATAATGATGCTTCTTATTCAAACTGTTGGTCACATGTACAGTATATAAACATAAAACATACAAGGAAGGTATGTATGTATGCAGTAGTATACTAGAGTTTAGGAAAATGAAAATTTTAGAAAATATGTTTTGTCACCCTGTTGGTCAGAAAGACACCTTTCTGGTTTTAACGCATGCAGGCATGTAAATATCTGTCTGGAGTCACAGTATTAATGAATGAGATCTTAAGCATCTGGTGACATCAGAACTCTGTGTCAGCCATTTTTATTTGTATATTGAACCTTAGTTAGTGCCCCAAGCTGCACTATTGAGAATGGATTGTGGCTGAAGAGTAAATTGAAGCACCAGAAATATTTTTATATGTTAACGTCATATTATGTTAATGTTGCTGAGAAAAAACAAAACCTAACAAACCCTTGATGTATCAGTCCAATACCATGTAGCGCTGAGTGATAAAGTTAAAATGTGTTGTGCTTCCCACCCTAGTCAGAGGGAAGGGTGCTTACGTGTTATTTTCACTGTCTTTGGAGAGTTACAGTATATGTTTCCACTTTGTGCAGATAACTGGAAGTAAAGCTGCAAACAGTGCGTATTATATGCTAAAGTTACCTTCTCTTTGCTTTTCCATACCTGGAGTTACATCTTTAAAGGCTGACACTATGAATCAGTACAGTTATGATTCATTTTATGATTTTGCTGTCACATTAAAATTTATGGTTGTAACATTATTTATTACCATAAATGGAAAAATCTTAAATATCCAAGGAAACTAGCTTAAAATGTTCAAGTAGTTTGGTTTGGATTAATTATTTGGTTAAGAGAAAACTATTATACATACTCTGGCAGTAAGCTTCAATAGTTTGTAGGTCTTCCTTGTAATACTGGGACATACTTCTTTTGTGTAGCTCACTACAAAACAGCTAAGTCCATTTTTTTAATACAATATAAAGGTTATATATACAGTTCCTATTTTAGCTTGCTTTAAAGGGAGCAATATTTTTATTTAAAATACTGTTAGTTAATGCTTTGTAGAAACTTGGGTTTCTAAGCATAGTTCTTCCATTAACCATCTCTTGTTTGAGCGCAGGAGATTCTAATCCTAGTTGTATCTATTTCTTGCTTTTCTCTGTATGCAGTCTTTAAAGGATTACAACACTTACAATTGGAGGGACTTGTGGCAAGCTTTTGAATCATACATTTTTGAACGATTTTTTTTTAAAAGCTTACAACTTACATATGTAGTAGAACCATTGCTCTGCTCCTTGCATAGAGTCACCTGGTAAGTAGGTTAAGTAGTTTTAAAATACATACTTTCAAGACCTTTGAGAATGCTTTAGGATTGGGTTTGATATAAAAAAAAATAGCAAGGATTAAAGAAAAGAGCTATCGACTATATGTTAAGAGAGAATCTTACTAACACTGTTGTAAATATTACAATTCATGAAATGTTATTTTAAGTCTGTAACTTAAGTTTACCCCACCTTTTTTTTTTTTTTTTTTTTAGTTAAACAGGTTAGTTTGAAATTTGTTTAAAATTGTGCCCATTTTATGGTTTCCATGCTTTTGTAATCCTAGAAATATTAATGTCTAGTTGTTCTATATTATAACCACATTTGCGCTCTATGCAAGCCCTTGGAACAGAACATACTCACCTTCATGTAGGACCTATGAAAATTGTCTATTTTTATCTATATATTTAAAGTTTTCTAAAAATGATAAAAGGTTATTACGAATTTTGTTGTACAAAATCTGTACAAAAAAAATCTGTTTTTACATCATAATGCAAAAATTGGAAATTTTTCTATGGTAGCCTAGTTCTTTGAGTCTGGTTTCAATGTGAGAACCATGTTTACTGTTATTGTATTTAATTTTCTTTTTTCTTTTCAACAATCTCCTAATAAAACTGTCTGAAATCTCCCTGTGACTTTATTTACAGTTCGTCTTTATTAGATTTTGTGAAATGCATAGCATTGAAGGAATATTTACTTTCTAATGGGAGGCATCTAAAAACATCATAAGTCAGCTCTTTGCAATGCGAGGGAACAATGCTCAATGATTTTATTTAACATGCAACTGCTTCTATCTCTAATATGAATTACTGTGGTGAAAAATATCATAAAAGCACACTCTGTAGTTATTGTTTAACAAGCAGATTTTCCATATTTTGTTTCTTGCCAGCTAAGCAAACTTCCCACATATACATGATTTATTTATGTACATTTCTCAGTTTATGAAGCTGTTATTTGTACCTTTTTCCTTTATATTCTTATATTCCCATGATTCTTATTTCACAAAGCTTTGTGCTGAATAATGTAAAGTAGACATGTTGATGGAACAAAATATATTATTCCCATATCTATGAGTGTATATTTGTAATTCTAACTCAGTGTTTTGCTTTTGATCTCTATCACTGGAAAAAACATGCCTTTAGAAACTTTGAAATTTTAATATCCTTTAATAATATATAAGCATTTTAATCAATCCAAAACGCAGCATTTGAAGAAATATTAAGTTGCTATCTCTGTGAATATTCTAAACTCTCCTGAGAGAATGGAAAATGGATATTTTTTTCTGTCTAAAGAAATTATTTCAATAAGTTAACAAATTACGATCTTTCCCTAATAAACACCCATAATGTTTATGCCACCCTTACAATCACATTTTTGTCTTCTGTCATCGAATGTTTATGTCAGTAAGACTTGTACTGGAGTAGCATACAGTCTCTAGATGTTAGTGGAATTTGGTGGTAATTTAAGGTTTTCCCAATGTGTTTTCATTTGGACTAGCGAAATTACAGTCTGCACAAAGCTATTTATCACTAGAGGAGAGTAAATTATGAATAAAGGTTATATGAGTTGCATTTTTAAAATATGGCAAATGGCGATGTTAACAGAATTAAAAGTATTGTAAATGACATTGTAAAGATATCATATTTTCTCATGTGTAGGCTTGGTGCTCACATTTATCTTTAATATGTACAACTGGTATATAAAAGCAGAGTTGATCCTCATTTATTGATTTAAGCAGATTCACTAATAAAGCCTCTGTTCTGCACCAAGCACTGTGCTAGATCTTTTAGTCACTGAAATTGAAACATAGCTGTTATCCCAGAGGAGCTTATCCTTCCTGTTGGAATCAGATCTTACTTTCAGCAAGAAAGAATGCATTGAGAATCTTTTACTCGATAGTGAACATACTCCTGGTCCGAAGAGGGTATTGTTTCCTTACCATTAAGTGGTAACAATCTAGTGACCCACAGTGTACATTCACCATCTGGAGAACAGTACAAGATTTTTGGGGAGTCAGATGATTCTGGAGGAATTGGGAAAAGTATGGACACATTTTCCCCTAAGTAAAAATAATACTGTTGTAGTGATATGGTTTTTCATTCATTTCCATCACAGCACTCTCACAGCTCACAAACTTTCCTTTATGGTAGGTAGCTGGTTTAATCACACAAAAATGTTTTATCATTAACAAAAAATAAATTCCTAATATAGTCAGACTACTGCATATAGACCTACCATATTCAATTATTATCAACCAGTACCTATATATATAGGGTAAGTACTTGCCTCAAATGATTCAAACACAGCAAACATTTCTGAATGCCAAGTGAGTATGTTAGATAATGAGCGACTCTTGTAAAGGGGGCATCATTTACATTTATAGGTCAATGATCTTGAGCTTTTGAGTTAAACTATTGGGTCAGTTAGGACAGTTAGATGTAACAAAAACAAATCCCTGCAAGTTTAAACCCCATAAGAATTTGGTTATAAAGACCAAGAAGTGCCGAAACCGGTTTGGCTCAGTGGTAGAGCGTCGGTCTGCGGACTGAAGGGTCCCGGGTTCAATTCCGGTCAAGGGCCCGTACATTGGTTGCAGGTACATCCCCGGTGGGGGGTGTGCAGGAGGCGGCTGGCTCTCTCATCGACGTTTCTGGCTCTCTATCTCTCTCCCTTACTCTCTGTAAAAAAATCAATTAAAAAAAAAAAAAAAAAAAAAAGACCGAGAAGTATACAAGCCAGAAATGCAGTTAGCCCCAGGGACCTAGGTCCCTCTACAATCTTCATGTTTCTGCTTATCAGTGACTCTGCTTCTTCCTCCCCACACTGCAGGCCTATTTGCTTCTCCTGTTTATCTCCTGACTTCTCTATTACTCAGGAGCATAAGACCCATCCCACAGAAATAATTCAATCATTTTCTCTCATCCCAAATCAGATTCCCTGAGAGTTTTGATTGCCTCAAGTCA